GAAATTGGCAAAGCAGGCTACTAATTACTTTCAGGATTATAATTGGAATGAAATCATTGTTTGACCTGTTATCCATAAGAGCCTCAATTCCTTAGTTTGGAAACGAAACTCCTTAAAATCATATTCTATTTTGATTTTCAGCATTGTCAATTTTGAATGTTGGAGGGCCAGGGAGCAAGTAGTAAATTAATTATCAATACTGTTAAAATTTGTCAGTGAAAAATAAGGATGTCTCTGAGACAAATGTTAAAAAATGAGATATAGAAAGATGTTTTAAATCATACCTCAACTCTCTCGGCTTGGTTTTCTGCAAAATTTCACTTCATCTTTACAAACCTTGCTCAGGCAAAATAGTAATTACATCAAGTAGCTTAGTTACACTTCCATGAGCCATGTAAGGTAAGGACTTTTCAAATCATGTACTGAATCATTTCACCCATGTCTGGAATATAGCCAACTCTGGCAGTTGTTCAGCAGCATTCATTATACATAAATAGAAGTGAAGTTTACTGTGCAGAATTGAAATTTCATGGTGAGGCTGGAATAGAAGTAAAATTGCCTAATCTGAAATGAAGTGGAATCATTTGGATAGCTAACACTCAGTGCTCCAAATGTGTCAGTAAATCATGATATTTGATTCTATGGATCAACTCTTGCTTTGTATTCAACCTAGGAACAATCATTCAGATTCATTCCAGAAAAAGGGAGAACAAATCCTGGCACGGAATGCTGCAGTTAGGTAATTTTAGACTCTAGATTTAATAATAGTACTGAGAAATGGGGAGGAGCCTTGGTAGTAATAGAAATGGAAATAATTCATTTCACTAGCTTTGTCTTGTGCTTTTCTGGAAGGATAACTCACTATGTTTGGCTATTCCCTCCCCCCAATTAGTTCTGCATTGGGATCTGAAATTTTGCTCCAGTGGCCTATCTCGATGGGGCCACTGTATTTTAATGGACTGCTCATAATATGGATGGTAACAAATGGTTTCCTATGTTATCTATCAAAGAACATTGTTCTGCTGTTCAGCCTTCTGCTGAATGGGTGCTACGTGGGAAGGAAAACTATGGAAGTGCTAGAAAAATGAATGAAGTAGAATAGAAGTATTAGTGGGCGGGGAAGGAAGGCAAGATGGTGGTGGTGACTGCATGGTTGAAGCCCCACCTCTTTTCTCTGTGCATCACGGGTCAAATTGGTGGGTGGTGTTGCTTTCCTTATGCATTTGAGGGCGTTTTGATTTTTTTTGATCAAAGACGATATGAAAGTCTACCACGGAGATAGAACAATAACTTGATAAAAGCTCTGCTTTGGAAGCAGACAAGATAATAAAACTGGAACATACAAGATTCAGGTCCAAATTATCATTGCAATAATATTGGTGTATATGAAGAATAATTAGAGTTCACTTAACTAAAATAGCATTACTATGAAAAAGTTATTAAACCAGGAAATGAAAATGAAGAATATGAGCCAAACCTGGGAAATAAAAAAGGGATAGGAAGAAGATTTAGATTTTAGGTCAAGGAAGGATTAAGATACTACTTCTTAACAGAACTATTCCTATTCCACTGCTAAAAATAAAGAGCGCCACCATACCTGTTACACTGATTTTTGAAGAGAAATTGTTTAGACTATCTTTTAATTTTAATAAGCAGCATGTCTATTTCGTCCTATCTTCTCTCATAATTTCCCCACTCAACTGCACTTCTTTTAGCTGCTGTTCTATCCATTAAAAATATACCCCTCCCTCCCTCCCTCCCTCTCTCTCTCTCTGAAATGACAATATATAGATATATGGTAGAAGGGGCGGGGGGAAAACTTAGCATGAGCTCCACTAATTAACCAGGCCCTGATAGTGATGGGCGAATTGACGGTACCATTTTCATTTCTCATAAAGCCCTGAAGAGATTGGACAGGCATCAGAACAAATGTGGGTTTAGCTGGGGCAAATAAGTCCTGAAATAAAAGTATACCACCTATGTAAGCTGATTGAACTGTTTAGAACAGGGGTGTCAAACTCAATTTCATTGAGGACCAGTTTTGTGTTTGACCTTCAGAGGCCGGGTACGGGCGGCCAGCTATACATCACTCGTGTCAGGGGTGCCTGTGGTGGCCCGAGAGCTCTGCTAGAGAAAATGGGCTGTTTCCAGAGTGGCCCTGCAGATCAGATCTAAGGACCCCGCAGTCATTGAGTTTGACACCTGTGGTTTAGAACATGTCACAGTTGATCTGTAGTTAAGGTTCTTCTCTGTTACTGTCCCTGCCTCCCTGGATAGCAATATCATTTAGACTTATAGAGTGCTTTACAGCCCTCTCTAAGCAGCATACAGAGTCAGCATATTGATCCCAACAATCTGGGCCCACATTTTACCCACATCAGAACTTCGGAAGGATGGAAGGCTGAGTCAACCTTGAGCCAGGTGAGATTCGAACTGCCAAATTTCAGGCAGCCAGCAGGCAGCAGAAGGAATCTGCAGTACTGCACTCTAACCACTGCGCCACAACAGCTCGGGTGAACATTTGCTTTTTCACTAGCATTTTTTGTCTTCTGGGAAGGTGAGTTAACTCATTAGCAAAGCACAAGACCACCCACTGAGAATGCCTACATGATCTATCTGGGCAGCAGAGACATTCCTGCAAATAAATATGATTGTGAAGGCTGGCACTTTGTTTTGAAGTACAATTACAGCTTTTAATTCATTTATTTTTAATTCAAATATTGTAATATAAAATAAATATTAAAATTAGGTAACTCAGGTAGCCAGGTGGGTACCAGTGGTGGGGTCTCTTATCCAACAGATTGTCTAAGGATGCCAAATGCTAATTGGATAAGAAAAAGATCTGAATCTCTCCCAGATTTTTTGCCTAATCTACAGCCACGTTCCCTGTAGCTCTCTCTTTAAAAATCTAAAAAAAAACCATAGGGTTGTGTTTTGATAACTGCTACTAATTAGAATCATGAGGTTATGTGCTAAGAAGAGAAAACATGGAGAAAATATGTATATTCCTCTTCTTGTTCTCTACTACCATGAGCCCCAGGAATGGATCAAATTTCAGAATCTATTTCAGCAAAAATCTTTCATAATCCATTTCATGAAGATTGTTGCAAGTGCAAAATGTGTGTGCATGGCTCTGGAAAGGAATGGAATATATATATTACACAAAGACCCGCTAAATTATGGTACAATTAAACGTGGATATGTTTAAAGGGAAATCACTTGATATCTCAACTTATGATGTCGTATCTATTAATGTATACACCATAGAATTACATTATTCATTTCAACTACGAAATTATGCACACATGCATCAATGATGGTTTTTGGACTAGTGATTGCAGTATAATAAAAATAGTTGTGGTCTGAACCTCAGTTACTTGGCCAAAATATTAGTTCACAAGCGTTATTATACAAATATTTCCCAGATATTCATATCAGCACAATGATGAAAAGAGAATTCTTCCAAGACAATAAAGAGTCAAACTTATTTTACATTGTATTTAACACCTCAAGCATTTCATTGATAAAAGTCAAGATTCTGCAGCTTCATGTCGATTTAGAATGGAAGGCAAATACTGGCACATTTCATAGATACAACTCCTACAAAAGATTTAATGGCAAATTAAGTAATTTCCATTTATCATTCCTTTAAAATGCATGGAGGATTTCAATGGCATAAGAAATAATGAACATAAAGACATACAGAGCCTATATTTGAGCCTGCTAAGGTTCCATATTTATGAAACTTGAGAGCAAACACACAAACTTTGACCAGATGAACACTATGTTACTAGAGGTAAAGATCTCCTCGCATATATGTGCTAGTCATTCCCGATTCTAAACTAAACTAAACTAGAGGTACTTTGGTCCTAAGAGAAGGCATGATGAAGAGTGCTGACTATCTGGCCTTTTTCACCAGTCAAATGTGATTCAAGTTTTATTTTCTGGATGTCCTTTTGAATAAATATTTAACAGGTTCAATATATAAAACCAAAAAATCATTTTATTAAGATACTTAACTATGCCATGTGAAAAAAGAAGACCAAAAGGAACACTTAGTGAAAGCACTTCATAAGGCAACCTTAAAATGGTGGGATCTAACTTCAACTCTAACATGTCATATGGGAACCATTTCTATCAGAGTAACCTAATGCAAAGAAGGAGATTCTTCTGAATGTTAATAGCTGCAGAGCAAAGCTGATTTGGTTGCTCAGATAAGGAAACAAAAATCGCATATGCAGTTTTCTAACTATTGAAAATAAAGAATGCTCTCTTTTCCATCTGGTTGCTCTCTGTTTCTCTCCTCATCCCATTCTTTCCTTTCCCTTAAATGCAATCTAAACAAACACAGGTAATGAAAATGTTTATAGGGACCATTTGAAATCAGCGTAAAATCTAATCCACCAGTTAAAACAATAACGAGATTGAGTTTGATTGACAAGCATGAGACCAAGGCTCTTTAGGCCAAAGCACCCCTAGGTTAAGCATCATGAATATGGGGGGAGGGGGTTCCAACCAAAAGATTTCTGTTCATCTTCGACCCCTTGCTCTTTTCCTACAGTGGCCATGTGACAAAATGAAGATGTTAGGGATGACTGCTCATTTTCCCTCTAACCAAACTTTCTTGAAAGCTAACAAAAGAGATAAAAAATACCAGTGATACTGCCTGGTAAGTGAGGGGAAAGTACCAGAAGGAGGAACAAATTGGTGGATTTGAGATTGGAGCACCCTGAAGTTTTTTACCCAGCTGCATATTTTGCACTGGGCCCCTTCAACCCAAGTCCTGTCTCTGAGCTGAAGACGAAAGGATGAAATCATTTTAATTGACTTTAAGCAAGATTTTATGTCTATGATCCTCAGACTAAATCTAGAATAATTCCTTCTTTGCATACTTACTTATAACCCTCCGTTCAAGCTTGAAAGGATTTCCATCAGAGTAGCTAATAATTAAAAACATCTGCTAACCAATCTTTCAGTCATGCAACTTCTGCCGAATATAGATCAGCAAATTGCTCCCTTCTCAGCTCTCTGAATCTTGTGCTGTTCTGAATTCTGACATATAGTGGAGATCATGAGATGTTATGAAGGACTGACAGAGTGTCAGCGGCAACATGTATGTTTAGGAGCCTTTGGGAAGGAAAATAGAAGGTAAGGGACATGGGTACTATACTTCATCTCACCCTCAAAATAACAGAGCAGATAGACCCTGGAGGCTCTAGAATAGACATTACAGAGTCCTGGAGGGATATGATTTAACCACAATGTAACGAAAACTGATGATTAATTCTTATACAGTTGGAAATCTTCCCCTCCTTCACAAAACCAAACCACATTATGCTTTTTAACAATAGGATCAACTGGATTCAATTGGACATCTATAAGACTGTTTAGGTTCCTTTTTAAGGCTGCCCAGTGCTTAAAACAACAGGGACTATAAACAAAATGTTCATCAAATAGCAAAACTATTCATGTTTAGGATAAACTAAATTCAGTGTTCTGGTCCCATATTTATTGGCCTACGTCGTTATTTTCAATAATATGAATATTATTAGTACTACTATTTGTATTTCTTTGTGTTTGATGTCTTCCATGTGCCATCTTCACAAAACATGCATTTAAATTTGTAATTTGTATTTTATTTTACTTTTGTGTATTTTCCTTTTTTTCCTAACACCTAAGTTAATTTAGTTTTTTTCTAATAATGTTGTATTTTGGCTTAAACTAAAACAAAAAAGAAGGAAGGAAGATGAACACCATATGGCAAAGCAGATTTTTAGGAGATCCCAGGAAGCAAAACATTTTGCCATGGTTTTATCACAAGGGGGGGAGAGACCCGCATAACTTGTGCTCTGAAAACTTACCTTTTCTTTAATTATATGGATAGCATTTCAAGCATTCCCATTTTTTTTTTGCATATTGAAAATACCCATTTAAAACATTTTTAAATAACCACAATAGAACATTTATTTAGTATAAAGTAAATCTTATAAAAATTCAATTGCAAAGTAGTTAAGGTATTTGAATTTTTTTTAAAAAAAATAGGGAAGAATCCCAAGAAAGAAAGTATTTGATGGCTAATAATCTCATTTCAATATAATAGGACCTTTCTTTTGCAAAGAGCAAGACAGGTTAAAAGATATAATTATGACTCTGCAAACTCTCCCAAGTGCTGGAAGATCATCTGACAGTTCTGATCCCGGGCTCAGCTCTCAAAGGGGAAAAAGTCTTTGTCTAGTTACAGAGTTAAAGAGACAGGATCCCTATTCCGTTCTCTGCCTACATTGCAATTTAACTGTCAAAAAAATCCAAGCGGCAAAATTGTCTTATTCCAATACCGCATAAGATGATTGGGGAGGGGTGGGGGTTGGAGGGTTTGAAACTGACCTGTCAAAACCTCCCTGTTTAAAAATGTATTATATATATATATATATATATATATATATATATATATATGTATATATATATATATATAT